TGGGGCAGCAGGCAGGGAGCAGCCCCACAGTGGTGGCAGCCACCCCACCAAGCCCAGCCCAGCCATGCCAGCTCCCACCAGCTGGGAAACCAGCCCTGGCACCCCCCAAACCACATGGGCTAAGCAGCATTACAACCTGTGGCTGCGTTCTGAATAGCACTTGGACCACCTTGGATTGTCAGAGACCTTCAGAAATGACACTGCTCTAGCTCTCCCTTAGAATAAAGCACAGAGTTAGATCACAACACAGCTTCAGTTCTAACTAGTATTTACATTCATTGATAGTGTGCAGAAAATGTGGATTTTTAGTGGTTTGGGGTTTTGCCTCTATAGCCCAGCAATTATTTCAGCTGCTTTTGAATGAAAACAATAATTTCCTAACGTAATATAACCACGTACGCAAACTGCTGTAAACACAGACTTCACGTTGTCAAGCTTGGCATATAACCACAACAATTATGAGGTGTATGAGATAGATGGAACAGGAAAGGCAGTTGAACTGGTCTGTTACAACAAGCAAGAAAAAACGAAGAGTTCTTCAAGCAGCTCTCTAGCCAAGATCAAAGTTCCAGTTCTGCCTGACTAACACTGGGGGCTCTGCACGGAAATTCAAACCACATAAAACAGATTTTAATCCATAACAGTGAAAACAAGCAACATGAACCAGAGAAGAAATGAGGAGGAACCCACCTTAGAAGCCAGACACACAGGAACTGGAGGCTCCAGGCCAAAGGAAGGCTGACCCCTCGCCTACCCTGGTCTTATACTGCCCGTAATCAGCTGCCACCGACACCTGGGCCTCCCGCTGCCCGGCACCATGGCTCCGGGGAAATCACACAGGTTTTCTCTATGTACCTTTCAGCAGGTGTAAAACCAAACGTAAATAAGTTGAAAGTGGAAGGGAAATGCAGATGAGTCGCGTTAATACCTTTTGGATAAGGACCTCAGCAGAGAGGAGCGCTGTAACTGTACCGTTAGAACGTCGCGGTGTTCCTCACCCATGTTCGCTACGCCCGACTACACCCGGATTTTTAGCACTAAGCAGGCCACACAAAAATTAAATCTGGAAACCTGAATATCCCTTAAAGGTTTACTCTGCTGTTCCCAGAGCAGGCGTCAAGCTCTGGCACGGGACAGCGCACGCAGGGCTGCCGTGACAGCGTGCTGCGACGGGCCTGGCGTTCACCAACATCGCGGCCCTCGCGGATATCCACGGGGACTGCGGCTGCTGGAGCTTCAAGGCTGCAACGTTCTCGCTCGAGATAAAGGCACCAAGACAGGGGGAGCAACTACGGGTGTCTGAGGTCACCCAAGAGGGCCGCGGGGTGTTTGGCTTGCAAAGCAGCCAAGCGGCAAAATCCAGCCTAGTGCGACACACGAAAGTTTAAGAATATTTATGACGCGGGGCATTAAGTGGATTCTTCAGTGTTTGCCTGAATAAGGATGGATTTAAACACGTTTTAAGCATCTCTCTGAATTCAGGCGGAGATACTCTGACTCTACACCTTTCAATTCAACCAAAGGCAAATATTTGTAGTAGGACAGTGGTGAACTGACTTTTCCCCTACCGATCTTTTTTCTTAGTTTTTTTACAAGGCATTTTATTACTTCTTATCTCTGTAAATATTTATTTTACTTTGCTCACCTTCTTTTCATAGTCACGTTTTCTCTATCCACAAATCATAAATAACAAGGGCTTATTAATGCACTAAGCATTGTGTTGTTAGATAAAATTTTAAAAGGAAAAAAAAACTATCTTCCTGCAGGAACTTTGAATAATCTAGAATTTCTGCTTATGTGGGTTTTTATCCTACTGGATATGGATCAATACTGTTGCTAAGAAAATAGGAAATAACAGGTTGGTCCGTAGGAACCTGAAGCGTCATTAGTTATGTCAAACCACATGTCATAATTCTGAGGGCTGAGTCCCAAAGAAATCTTTCCTCCCAAATGCAGAGCAGGAAAGACAGCGAGCCACAAGATTGTTTTCTGATTTCTGAAGGGTAAGTGAACGAATGGAAGAGTGTGCTCCTCCCTGCGTGCAGGGAGAGCTTCCTCGGCGCAGACGGCGTGCTGGCTTTGTGCTAAGGGCGCTAGGAGGGCTCCGGGACGTTGTGGACTTCAGTGAGTGAGAGCACGGGAGATGAGCACGTGGTGCTGGTGTGCCACCACGGATAAGTCCAGCTGCTGCACTAAAAGCCTCCTGAAAAAGATCTCGTCAGTGATCACCGCCGGATTTGCCAGGCTCTGGTAATCCCCACGAGCTCCTGCTTGTGACCTTCGCTCTTTTTGGTGGTTTTCATTAATTCCACAGTGGTTTTTTTTAGAAAACAGATTATTATCCCGTTCTTCCTTTCTGACATCAGAGAAGAAATCCCGTTGTTATCTAGGAAAGAATCCCCCAGTTCGGGCTTTGTGGATTGAACTTCTTGATGATGGTTGGCAACAACGTGGCCAGGCATAAGAAATTGTTGTCTCTGTGGATTAGAAGGTCTGAGAAACCTGTGAGTGACTGGGTTTTCTGTTGGAAATACAGTATTCGGAGACTTTAAAATTCAAGAGACAATAATCATCTCTAAGTTTCTGGGCATCAGCTACTCTACATCTTTATTCCATTTTTAATGGATAACGGGTTCAAAGAAGCGCCGCTTCCAATTTTCAACAGAGGTCTAGAAAGAACATTCCTGTGTCTTGAGCGGGCGTTGTGTCTCAGATCGGCTCTGAAACCAGCGCAGCTTGGTTTTGTGAAGAGCCTCATTTCCCTGGAAGTTCTCTTTCTACTGAGTTTTTGAAGAGGAAAGAAGCAACGGATAGAACCTTACTGTGAAATGAAAGGGGCATAGTCAGAGTGACCTTTTTTTTGTATCATCACTTGCCTTTTATGCAAACGCTAGCTGACAATTATATGTCCTGTTTTCTTGGCTGGGGCTTGGAATTTCTAAATTAGAGGAAAAAAAAAAAAGGGAAAAAGTTAAGCAACTGAATTTTGTTACATCTGCCAAAGGGTCAACAGCTATTCAGCAACGTATTTTTTGAAATATATTAAATTAGAAATGAAATTTGAACCATATATTTAACAAAATATTTCCATTTAATCACACGAGGAGGACTTGTAAATAACAGAGTTCAAAGCCTTGGAGCAGATGGTCTTTCTGTTTTAATTCTTTCTCTGATCTGCTGTGTGCCAGTAAATCTCTGAGTTTCATTTGCTTTATTCAAATCCCTTGGCTATTCAGGACACTTTGTGTCAAAGCATTCTGCTGTGGAATTTCAGTTGTGTTATGTATGCTCCTAAATGAAAAGAAAACACATCTATATTTCGTACACACAAAGAGCAACATGATAAAAAGCACAGCACTGGAAAAAAACACATTTCTTCCCCGGTGATGTACATAAGTACCTGGTCTATGCGCTATGTGTATGCGCACAGGGAGAGGACGCGGGCACTGCAGGAGCAGGCCAGATTTCCAAACCTGTTCACTGGAAATCCCAAAGCAGATGTAGTTATAACTACTTTAAAAATCTTTCTCTGTGTCAAATTTAGTCCATCATTTAATAAATTTATTTTACCGAAATAGGATTCCGTTGGTTTCCCTTCATCGCCACGAATCGCTTGCACCGACACCAGGGCTCAAAGCGCTGCGCCTCGCGGCCACGCCAAGGGCGGTTTGGCTGGCCGTGTGGATCTGACCGCATCGCTTCGGAAGGGCTTGGCTCTGCGCTGCCTGGTGACACGGACGGCACAGCCGCTTTGGAACACTTTACGCAGTCATAGAGCTGGCTTGAAACAACCTTAGGTCTTCCCAACATCTTCTTCTCCCGAATGTGACTGTGAAAGCACGCAGCGAGATGCGCGTCACCTAACACGGAGCGGCCTGGAGACGCCGAGCTCAAGTGCATCTGCCCTTCCTCATCCGAACAACTCGTTCAAGAACGAGACCAGACGACCCCGAGACTCGCTGGCAGCAGGCACATCGCTACGTGCCTGGAGATTACAGCTGTTCAGAGACGCTCTCCGCAGCTACGCGCCCGACACCCGCGGGGGGGCTGGCTCGCGCGGCGCGTTGCCCTGAGCCGTGTGGGGGTCCCGGGGGGGGTTTGGGTGGGAGAGGGAGAAGGTAGGAATGGCAAGAGCTGTCTCTCTGACTTGGCACTTGTTCCTCCAAAGAGCATTCCTGTTGCTGACAACAAATTATGTTTCTCTTTAAACGACTAGATGATTTCTTTGATAGTTGTTTATTTTCTTTTCCTTTAAGGATATTTTGTTACCGCAGTCCATCACAAACCAGCCTATTTGTTTGGGTACATCCAAATATTTTTAGCGTTTACTACGGAATGACATGATAACTGTGATAACAGCCCTTGAAACAAACAGGGAAAATCTGGGTTGCGTGTGAGCACTGATGGACAGGAATCTCAGCCACGGAGGAAAAATAGTTTTGTCCTACTTTTTGAGCAGATGAGAATTAGAGAACGAGCGACTTCCAATTTTAGGTTAATATTTTCACCCAGGGAGAACTCAGAAAAACGTATCAGCCTTCGGCGTGCAGCAGTTGTGTCCGCGGAGGCAACGACCCATCCCGTGTAACCCCGGACACTTCACTAAAACGAAAACAACTTATAGACCGATTAAAATAAGTCAATAAGAAAAAAACTAGGACGCAGGGTTACGTCTCGTTGGCTCTGAGGCCGCTTCAGCTGCCCGCTTGCTCGGGTTTGGGTGGACAGAGGCGCGTGGACCGCTGGCCATGCACTCATCCAGGCTGAGCCCACCTCCGCCTAGCTCCCCGCCGCAGACACACGCGCAGCAGACGCACCTGTAATGTCCTTGCTTGGGAGAAATGACGGGGAAAACGGAGTACGGGAGCTACGTCGGACATTTAGTGCTTTTTGCAAACGTGTCCTATTCATCTAGAAAAAATAGTTGAAGGTCATTGTAGATCATACAGTGAATCCCCTCGTGAAAGGGCAAGGAATCTGGGTGGCTTTGCGGCCACACGATGCCCGCGTACGTTAAGAAGAATCCCGTGTGCTGTGTTTGTGCTGAGGACCTCAGCTTCCCTGTTGCTCGGGCAAAACTCTCTCGTGCTGCAGTGCGAGAACACAGACGCGGTCAGTCGTGGCAGCCGACAGCAAACGGAGCTGGAACCTGGCATGTCTGGGAAGCGCCGCTGGCCACGAGCAGCGGGTCTGCGCGCGGGCGGGTTGGAATT